TAAATGTTAGAGGTTAAGATCAATATGTGGAATTTCAAGTTGAGTAAAAAGAATAGTTTTGAATTTCTAATGGTGGGGTACCTCTTCTAATTTTCTAAGACTAGTCAATAGGAAAGTCCTATGGCTAGACCTAAGCTACTAAAGAAGTTTTTTAGACCTCAACCAAAAGTGAGGTCAACAATGACCCATCTGACTATGATTGAGTCAATTTTGTACCTTTTCAGATAAATGAGACCGATATAGGTGATTATTATCTCTTTTGTCCGTAGCAGAGGCCTCTCTTTTTAGCATACCCGATCACCTTGAAATATATAATGAGTATAAATATAAATTGAAATGCAATTTAAGTCGATTGTTATTTTTTTAAATTGATATTATGTTGATGGGTTATTTATATAAGTGATGTGAGTTTATAGATATCTTTCTTGCAATAGCAACTAGGGTTGCAGCAGCTATTATTATTTTATGGTTTGTTGGAAAGGGTATATGAGAAGAGAATTCAGCTGAAGAGTTGGTCCTGTGATATATTTCTTTTGAGTCGATTATTTTATGTTTTGTTTATACTAATTTAGAGGCACATGAGAGGTGGGAACTGGAATATTCACCTAACCTAGCCATAGAGCATAGGCTCGTTGGTTTATCAAATGCTATCAAGAAGGTACCAAGTTTCTTTATTTTTTTTCTTGTTTCAGCCCTTATATTTAATAGAAGGTCTTTTCTTCCATGGAAGTAGTGTTAGCCTGATGTTGTTTGCATTGGTTTTGCCATAGAGACCATTTTTACTGTATGGAGGCTACCCGAGTTACCAGCATGGATTTTGTATGCTCCACTTATTTAGAAAATGTGCAAAATATATCTTTTGATTATTGGGACAACAATTAATGCATCACTCTAAAAAATGAGTGGTGTTTCTATTATAACATCACATCTTCATTCTTCACTTTTAATAGTAACAAAAACTTAATTCAGATTCGGAAGGGAGTTTTCCAAAGTTAATTTATGCAGACTTGGTTGTATTATATATTTTCTCTACCTAAGAATTCATAAATTCTTCCTCCTATAAAAGTTCATGGCATTAAAGTATTTTTGTTATATCTTATTTTGATACGCTGGTATCAATCTAGTTTGAGATATAATTATTTTTACTTTTGTTAATATTTTGTGATCTAAAGAGTATCTGGTTTGGTGCTGTGGATTTTTATCTTAATTTTATAGACTTATGTAACATCATACGCTTGAGAATATGTTCACTTAATCCCGTCCTCCATATCTTTCGACAGCTAGAAACATGTAAGTGTCGCTGAATTCCATAGCATGGGCATAATTTAGGAATCTCTTACATATCTTATGGAAAAATTGGTATTTTCTTTGCTTGATACGGGGCCAATGAGGCGGCTTATTTTCTATTTCCTTTTAAGGAACGTTTTTTACAGTTTGGGACCAAACTTGATAATTTCTTAAAATTAGTCTGAGTGAAGATTGTGGTTTTGGTACTCAGCACTAAGGTTTGATTCACACGATTTGATTGATCAACAACTTATGATATAAAAGACATCTTAAAGAAGAAACAAAATCCCTCTTGGTGGTTGTTAGATAAAGTCACTGGCGTTGTGGTGGCTTTCATTTGGCGGAGATGGTAAGATGGAAGTTTTGGACAGAGGTTTGCTACGATGGAGGCATCTGCTTTGGCTAGATATTACTAAGTGTTTACGTTAATGTATTCGTAGAATAAAATATGCAGGTGGTTAACCATGTTTGTATGTTTGCATCTTTGGAAATAAGAAAAGATATTCTATAGTTTGCAAGTGTTTGATCTACCCAGAACCTGGAGGTGAGTTCTGTTCAAGATTCAGAGATTACCACTTTGGATGACCACCTCACAATTCCATGGATTTCCAAAACTAACTGACACAAAGGAGCGGCCGACAATTTGCTAATATTTAAAACATACACTGAGGTGGAACTATTTCTCTGGTAAAAAATTGAATCTGCTTGATATAAAGGTTGCATTGAATATTGGTTTAAATTTTTTATGGTTGTTTTGAATGAAATGGCATAGTTGCTTTAATCCCCACTTCTAAATATCTGACATAAATACCATGCATATATGCATGTGGCTATTGAACTTGTTAGATTGATACTTTATACTCTCTTCTATTTCTATTTTGTGTAGATAACTTTGCTGAGAATGTTTCATTCCTCTTTACCTTTTTCTAATAAGTTTTCCTTTCCAATTTAGGCGGCGAAGAAAGAACGATTGAGTTTATGAAGAGGCAAGGTGGTTCAAATTCTAAGCAACCCCTTTTACATTTTGTATCCGAAAAGGGTATAATAAAGCATCACTTCCCAATGAATTATTTTTTAAAGCCATGGAGATTGGGTGAATGGTTTTACCAGGTCATCAAAATTGGTATTGTTCAATATGTATGTGGCTTCGGACTTATGCTCACATTTCACACTTTTCATGAAGAAGTATTTACATACATACCACCCATTTTCAATGTTTTTACTTATCTAACACCTAAGCTTTGTTTTTTTTCATGTATACCACCTAAATCTTTCAAATCACATAAAATATACAACTATTTTAACTTTTAAAATGTGAAATACACCTTTTCATGCTTAGGAAAGGTGGCATGCATGTAAATACAACTATTTTAATATATAAAATTTGATGTTTAGGTGTTAGATATTTAAATACATAAGAATTGAGTGGCATGCATGTAAATCTTCCTTCATGAATTCCAATCCTTACAAACACCACATGGATTCCGAGTTCAATTAATTTAATAATTTTCTTTATGCAGATGATAATTAAAACTCTTACTGCCATTCTGGCCGTTTTTCTTGAAGCCTTCGATGCATATTGTGATGGAGAGTTTAAATGGAAGTGTGGGTAAGATTCATTTGTTGTTTTGGCAGCTGCTTGTGGCTTCCAAGCAATTAGATATGGCTTTAGCCGTGTATTTTACTTCCGATTTTGGATTAAAGTGCCAAAGTAGTTCACTGATTATTTACATGTGGTCATCTTAGTCCCCGAGTCTATTAAAATGCTAAATTAGTCCCCAGACTTTAAATATGAGCTGAAATGGTCCCTAGGATAGACTATTTTAGCCCTCATTAAAAAGTCTGGGAACTAATTTGACACTTTTATAGATCTGAGATTAAAATTGACCTCTAGAAAGAGTTAGAGGACCATTTTGACACTTTTTTGTTTGATCTTCTTTGAGAGTGTGACTAAGTTTCTTATTTGTTATAATATAATTGTAGGACCTGTTCTAAATGTATTATTTGTTTTAACGGGTAGTTAGATATATTTACTGGTACATATTTATTCCATGTGGATTCATTCTGATTCGCTCTGTTGAAGTTTAGGTTAAATATCTCTTGTCCATCACAATTTATCATAGGTTTTGTCCCTTGCTGATATTGCTGTTTTGTATGACCCAACGGATTAATATTGCATGCTTTTTGTTTATTGATATCATTAAGATATTTCTAGCGTATACTTTTAGCCATAAAGGTGCTATGGCTTAATTCATCTACGGTTAAAAGTGGGAGCAGGGTGTTGACTTTATTAAAATAAGTTGTAAATCGTTTAAAATATATATAGAAGTGAGAAGACCATATAGAAGGCAGGGTTTTGATTGATCAACTTCAAATTTTATAGAGCTAAGAGGCTATTTTATATCAAGTGTCTTTAGCATTGATATTTAATGCTAGTGTGGAAGTAGTACCACATTTTTTCTAGTGCTTTTTGGCATCAATTTTAAAACAAAAGCTCTCTTTAATATAGCTCCGAAACCTGAAATATCATCGGATGAGCAATCATTACATTTATTAATTTCATGGCAACAGTTTTCTTGCTGGTATTATGATGAGAAGTTTGATTGAAAGTTGAATGAAGTAAGTTTTGAATGAGAGTTCTGGCTTGTTTTGAATAACTTGAAATTGAAGGTGGCTACAATAAAAAAAAATTTAAACATTTTTTGAATCATGGCAAAGACAACTAAAATAAAATTCATCCTGGCCGAAGACATTGTGATACCATAGTTAACTCAAACCACAATAGGAAAAACAAATATTATTACTGAAAGCATATCGACAATCACAATCAAACACAATTGAAAGGGAAATTACAACAAACACGACACACTCACACTAGGGCTCGATCTCGGCGTGGTGGAGGTCAGTTAGGTGGTCGGGGAGCGGAGGTTGGTGACTGAATGGGTTGTGGGTGGCTGGGACAGAAAAAGGAGGGGTTGGAATTGCTTTGGCAGCGAAGCGGAGGCTGGGAGAGCAAGAGACAGCGAAAGAGGAGCTGTGGACTTCAGGAGAGGAGTGCTGTTCAGTGCGGGGTAGCAAGCAGGGACTGCAGGGACAGCAGGATAGGCTGCAGTCGAGGTGGCAGCGAATCGGAATGATGGTTGGACCGCAGGAAAACATCAAATTTACTGTTTTCCAGATAATAGCAGTTAGGGCCGGCGACTAGAAGTGATGCGGGAAGGTCGGGGAGGATGGTGGCGGCTGTGTGTGATGGCAGCAAGGCGGGGAAGGGCGCTGTAGTTGAGGACCTGCCAAAAACAGCCAAACGAGGCTGAGCCTCTTGGCAGCTGCAACAAGGTTTGGTTAAACAACTGAATGACTCAGTTAAAAATGCTGGACTAAATCGAATAGAACTAACTAATAGGAACATGACTCAAGTCCATAAATATCCCATAGAATGGTACTAGGCTAAAGATAATAAAATCAAAAGAAAGTGATTTTTCTGATGGTGTCCTCGTCTAAGAGCACGATGAAAATCAAGAAAGAGAGAGCTTCACTTAAAAGAGCATATGATTGGATCAGAAATAATATAGCCAAAATAGCATAATTACATAGGAAATAGACTTGGCTACGAGAGCATGGATAAGTCAAAGGTAACTATTGTCTATTTATAAGGAGATTTATGGGCTCACTATAATGGGTGAACATCAGCAATATCTGATAATATATTTTGGTAGATATTGTATATTTATACCAAATAATAATAAAAAAAGAGAATTAATATTGGGAAACAAGCCAAGAATTAAAATTTGCTTTCCTCTTATGCACTTGTTCTAGGCAGAGGCCTTGGCGCTCGATTCCTCTTATCTTAAAATTGATCATGAAAGCATAAGTTACTTATGCAGAACTTTTTCTTCGAGCATAAAATTCCAAGAGCTTTGCTCCTAAATAAATAAAACCTTATGTTTTGTAATTATGTAATTGTGATAATGCATAAGGTACTCATGTAGAAAGTTATTGCCAAGTGTAATGCATCGAGGGGTTTGTTCCTTAACAAATAGGATTGCAAGCTTACTAATACTGCCATTATGATTATAATATAAATAACAGAGACATCATCGGAAGCCTGTTTGTTTATAATTCTAGACTGGATGAAGTCATTCTTAAAAGGTATTGATAGGCATAACCTTGTACGCATCGGCTTCAAATGTGATACTATTTATTCACTCTAATGTGATACTATTCATCCTGTCATGAAAAATGGTAACAAACCTTTCTTATACAAAATGAAGTTTCGAATACACATCCTGATTGGATGATTAAAGACTTCACTGCATTATTGTTCTTTCTTGTTTTAGTTGGCTATATTTTTTTTGCTGAAAGTTGCAGTATTTGCCACTCGATTCAGAGTCCAATTTTAGGCTTATTGTATTTGCACGGTAATGAAAAGATACCTTTAACCTTTTTTGGCTACATCTTTTTAGCTGTTGTCTTATATTTTCAGGTATCCTTATATGGCAGTGGTCCTCAATTTCAGTCAATCATGGGCCTTATATTGCCTAGTGCAATTTTATGCTGCTACGAAGGATGAATTGGAGCATATAAACCCATTGGCAAAGTTTTTAACGTTCAAATCAATTGTTTTTTTGACTTGGTGGCAAGGTGTGGCTATTGCATTATTTTATTCGCTGGGTTTAGTGAAAAGCCCTATAGCTCAGGCCTTGCAGTTTAAATCAAGCATCCAGGACTTCATCATTTGCATAGAGGTAATCTGATTATATTGAATGTTCGGGGCAAATGTTTGGGGCATTTACATACCACACAATTCTTATGGATTTACATATCTAACACCTAAACTTTAATTTTTATATTTATAACTCTCAAATCTTTCATATCACATCAAAAAGACCACTATTACTAAAGTTTAAAAAGTGAAATTCACCTTTGCATGCATGGGTAAACTGACATAATTGTAAAAATCAGAATTTAGGTGTTAGGTATGTATCATGTATGTAAATCTTAGTGTTTTTCCTTTTTTCATTCTATGTCCCGCTATCTGCATTTTGTTGAACTTAATCATTTTTCAATGCCTGATTGGCCTTTTTTTATGAGTGAATATATACTATTAAATCATGGTAAAGGATGAATTTATTCTGATATAATTCTGTTTCTAATACAAGTTGACTTATAGATTGGCCAGCTTAACAACAATAACAAGTCTTTATCCCACTAAGTGGGGTCGGCTTCATGAATCCTTTTTCTTCTTTGGTCAGTTCTTTGAAAAAAAATTATTACTTTAATATGTTGATGGAAGGTTTTCTTATTGAAATTTAGACGATCCTTCACTTGAAGACGCACTAGTTATAGATGATCCTTCACTCGAGTGACATAATGCTGGTTACATACATGTAATTTTTTTTTTTAAAAGTTCCAAATAGGAAAGGTATGTTTCTTATGGTGTGGCATTGTGGCTAAACAATGGAAATTTAGTTGAATGGCGATTAGTAATGCTATGTTAATTGATTGAAACATGAACTTAATGATGATTAATTGTATTAGAAACATCTTAGTTTGTGATTAGAATTTAGAAAATGGAGATGAAGATCGAAGAGGTAGGTAACATAAAAGGATGAAAGGAAAGAGGGATATACTAGTTAGGAGAAAAGAGAGAAGGAATCTGAGAGAATTATGGGGAACGATTAGAACAGTTTATGATGATGAAAATTATATCCTACTAACTTTATATACTAGCTATGCTAAATGTATTTTTCCCCTTATGCCTAGGATAAAATTTGTCTCTGGATTATTACTTGGAAGGTCAATCTTCTAAAAACATTTGGATCAAATCATCAATTCCAAGTTATAAACTATGCAAGAAATGAAAAATGTGTAGTGAACAGTAATCTTGTTTTAGGCCCTCTATCAATAAACATACGCCACGATTCTTCCTTTTTAGGAGCAAGAATGACGTTGGTGCTTGGGCATGCGCTCGATTATGGGCGCTAAAACAACGCTCGGTTTGGGCACAAAAAAGCTCCCCAACGCGGGATACTGAGAACCCGCGGTGTCGAAGCCCCGTGAAACATTACGATGTGGGAACCTGCGAACTCGCGAATGCGAGAGAGCTGGACAACGGGATCATGATCCCGCTTGTAGAACAGGGATCAAATCGTGAATCTTCAGGATCCAAGGCTGCTTCATGCACCTTACACACTAGTCTTCTTATGGATTTTTTTTGGCCTCCTACCCTCTTCCTTTATGTAGAAGTTTCTTTTAGGAGTATATAAATTGTTGTCATTGTGTAGGTGGGAGGCAGATTGGAGTTCCGTTTGAGTTTAGTTTTAGATCTCCTATGCGGAGTCTATTTCTCTTTGTGGGATTGTATTCGAGGAGGTGGTGGTGCTCTGGCTGTATCCTCTCCGAGGTGGTGATTGTATCCTCCCTCTTTACCCTTTACAATCCTTCTCCCCTTCACTCCTTTGCCACTAAACTCTCATGGCAACCCCGACACCCAACTATTCCCCCTTTATGCAAATTATTATTGTTGTTCCGCCTATCTAACTTCTTTTAAGCTTCTCCCAACCACCCAACTACTGCTACGGATCATCTACAACCCTTCTCATTTTTTTCCTATAGTTTTGCACCTTCCCTTATCTAGCACCCGCGTTTTATGACTATCGTCATCCCTCGTAGTCATTCATATTCCTCTAGTCGACCTTCATTACCCGATGGGATACATTTAGGAGAGTTTGCTTGTCATTTTATGTTTGAGTTGTTATTTTTATTTAATATTAATGAAAGTTTGTTTTTTATGTTTCCACTGTTTTCCCTACTAGTTCTGGTATTATTTGGTATCAGAGCTAGCTCGACCCTAGTTATATCCTAGGTTTTCTAGCGTCCACCATAACCCACAAAATTTCCTTCCTACCACCCAATACTCTTTCCACTGCCACACTTTCCTAAGCCTAAATTTCCTTCGCTGATCTTTTAAAATCAGTAACATTGACCCAATTATTTTTACCCCTTTTCACCTCCGCTAAAAATTTTTCCTCCCTATTCGTATACCTTAACCATGCCATAAAGGAGATCTTTGCCCAAGCCTACCTAGGACGAGATACGGTGAGAGCTCTGTCGTCTTCAGCGGAGGCTTATGAATATTGAAGAGAAAATTCAGTGGGAGGTTACTCTCGACCCTGATCTGAAAGGTTGAAGGGAAGAACGAGACAAAATGAATATGAAGCGGGAAACACGATGCCAGTTTTTATCAACTTACTACCGCCAAAAGTTGCAGATTCTAGCTTTCGAAGAGGAGAGACCTTATCACCAAGTGACCCCCCTTGCAATCCGCAAAACTATCACATCTAGAAAATGCTGCAAGTGACACGGATTTGGACATGCGGAAGCAGAATGCACAATCAGTGGATTGATCTATTTCACGGAGCAGGGTGCCGTTGAGATCTGGGGTGAAGACACCGCAGACACTAAAGAACTGTTCGAACAAGAACTTTCATCCGATGAAGTCTTCCCCCAAAGAACTCCCTTATTCATGAATACATCCAATGTGGTTCTTGCTCTCCTAGAAAATGAGGAACTTTTTGTTGACACATACAATGATCACACAGTCCAGACGATGTTAGAATTTAAAATTTCAGTAGATATTAGTGACGACCAACTGATGACATCACAATCAGTCACATTTTCAGCCCCCACCCCCAATGTTCCACATGAAGAGACGAAAGACGAGTGTGGAGCTCTTGTTATTGGAACGCAGTAGAAAATGTCAACTCTACAAAACTTCAAGAGTCAGAGTGAAAACCTGGAAGATAATAAGAGTCACCCATCAGCCAAACGCTTGCAAATCCTCAGCCATGTGGAGGCCCAACTTATCACAGAGGAGAAGCATACTAGATATTTACTTGTTCGGAATTTGGCTCTGGAGAAAATGCATAGTAGTGTACCTCCGACTCAGATTACGCCAAACCAGAACAGATCAATCGGGGGGTGTGATTACAAGTGGGAAAAGCTCCTCAGATACTTTGGGAGACACGACAGTTGTCAGTGGGATCCAGGAACGATCAAAGAGAACTAGAAGCCTTGACCTATGAAGTAGAAGCTCCCCCATCCCCAGGAGACTGACGCAGACGCATGGACAATCGCCCGATTATGGGCGCAAAAACAACGCTCGGTTCGGGCTCAGAAAGTGCGTCGATGTAAGGCGTTGCGAACCAGCGGGGTTGAAGCCCCACAAAACATTGTCACACGGGAATACACGAACTCGCGAATTCGGAAGA